AGGTGCCCTTTCTGCTGCCAGCGTTACGGATGAAAAGAAGCCCAAGATGGGCTGAGATCCCAATGCTGAAGCCTGATGCATGGGGCCCCAGCATGGATGCCTGTGACAGGAGCAACTCTCCAGGCCACCCCGGCTCTCAGGGATGTTGAAGTCCTCCCTCAAGAAGCATAGCAGGGGGCTGGGGATATAGCTCAGTTGGTAGAGCACTTGCCTCGCATGCACAAGGCCCTGGGTTCAATCCCCAGTGCAGGCCAAAAAAAAAAAAAAAGCACAGCAGCGCTCAACCAGGGTGCCAGCCAACATCTGCACATCTGGAGCCATTGTGGTCAAAACAGAGGCATGGGGCAAGCACACTACTAGCCTCTAGTGGGTAGAATCCACAGAAGCCAGGCAGGCCACCAAACATTCTGGATGGCAGAGGGCAACCCCTAACAACACAGAATTATCCAAAGATGTCAATAAAACTAAGAAATCTAAAGAAAATGTGCACAGAAGTTCTTTCTACAACTTCGGGAAATGTATTAATAACCATTTCTATTTCTGAAACCCAACATGCTCTGAGCTGCAAAACACTGTCCACACACACACACAGCAAGCTGGCCTGGGCTCAGGCTTCAGGGCACCCTCTCCAGCCACCCACCACCTGGGCTGCACCAAGATCATCCCTGCCCCTGGGGAGTAATGGGTAGCAGGTCTGCCTGGGGTCCAGGCTTCCTCTCCGCATGGGAAAGTGCCTGCAGCCAGCCTAGGGCACTAAATGATCACAACTCCAGCAGCAGGAAGAGTGATTCCAGGCCCCACCCGCTTGGCCTGGCATGGTCTCAGTACACAATGGGCAGATTGTGTGGCCGTCTCCACCTTGGGAGGAATGGTCTGTGACCCAGGGCAGCAGGCTCCTCAAGGCTGACCTTGCAGTCACCCCAAGACACGGATCTTTCTCTGAGGCTGAGATGTCCCAGTTCCACCTCCCATGGCACCTGACAGCCAACATTTTGTCACTGCATGACACCAGCCGTGTCAGAGGTGGTTCAGGTGACAACCTCTTCCTCAGGTGAATACTGACCTTCAAGCCAGCTGGGTGGGAATGGTCCCTCAGTTGCTGGCCCAAGGTAGAGTGGGCCACATGGCAGACCCTCCATCAAGGTCTCCCACTGCTCTGTGGTGACAACCCAAACCCTCCACTGGGACCCATAGCTCTGACCCCACAGCCCCCAAGCAAGCCAACAGAGACCCACTAGATTCTGGGAGTTGTGAAACATCTCGAGGTTCAGATGCCATCTTCCTAGCCAGATCCAAGGACCCAGAACAGCCAAAACTGTCTCCCCTCCCTGTCCCCCTCCCCATCAATCAGCGAGCACGGGGTGACAGTGTGGATTCAATGCAGTGGTGCGATCATGTGACGAGAGCTGCTTTCCCAGTGTGTGGCTCAGGCTATGAGAACAATCCCCAGCAGGCCTGGCCTCCCTCTGGCTGGGCACTCAGAGCAATGGCAATCAGCAAGCAGCCCTGGGGGGTGTGTGAGACTTGGGCTCCAGGAACACCAGGGACAACAAACGTCCCTCCAGCTGAGTAAGATGGGTCCAAGAAGCCTCAACCTGGACCCAACCTCCTTCCCCAGGTTCATTCAAGAAAACCCCAGGAGGATCCCCAGGCCCTGCAGATCGCAGTCAGCATAATGACCCTTCTGGGGCTGGAAAGTGCAGCAGAAGAGGAGGGGCGCCCTCCCACACCTGGCAGGCAGTGCTGGGAAGGTCAGTGAGCAGGAGGTGCCTGTTGCTCCCCGAGAAAGCTGCTGGAGAGGCCAGGAGGCCCCTGGGGTCTGGCCAGCCCCACTTGCCCACATAGGCAGGGTCACCAAGGGGCCTTTGCCCAGCGCTGCACAGTGATAACCAAATCTCAAGCAGAGCCGTGGTGGCACCAGGCTGCTGGTTCACACAAGCCTTGGAGTAGAAAACCAACTGAATCATCCCAGTGACTGTCCAGGCCAAGCCATCGTGAGACTAATCAAAATTGGAAGAAAAAAACAGATTGGGTGTTTCCATAATAAGGAGCTTTAATGATCCACGGCAGCACACCAGCCTGTATCTGATAACCAGGCTCAGGCGGCGGGGTGGGAGGGGGGCTGCTTTGCAGGCCCATGCCCCAGGTCTGCTTCCTGCTCCTGAAGTCCACATTCCTCTGATTGTGGCCTCCCTGCTCCCCCCATTCCACAAGCCACACCAACACCTCCTCATTCATGTCTCAAGAAAGAACGTTCGAACAGACTCTGAAAACAAAGGGCATGGTCAAGGTCGAGGGTCATCCCTGAGTTCACATGGCCCGGCTCTGAGCCTATGCCTCTGTCAGTCAGTGGCAGGGGACGACGGGTCAGCAAAAGCCTCCTCTGTGTCCTGGCCCTGGAGCTGCCAACCTCTCTCACACCTGCTGCTGGCTCCTCCCCTCTGAGTCCTCTGGAGAGCACAGGGAGCACACTCTTCCCTAAGGGACTGTTCTCACAAAGGAGGAAACTTCTTGGCCTTATCAGACATCTGACTTCTCACTGAATCCCACGATGAATGAAAATTCATCCCAGAAATGCTGGGGCTGGAAGGCTTGCATGAGGTCACTATCCTGGCTGAGGACCACTGGGTGTGTACCCTGGAAGGGACAGACCTGGAGACCCAGCCAAGATCCCCACTGTACCTGGTAGCCTTAAGTTGCACATCCTGCCCCCCTGATATGTGCCCTCTCTGACCACAGCAGGTACACAGAAGGCAGCTCTCACCGCTATTTGCGATCGCCTGCCCTGGGCGGAAAGCTCAGGGTGTCTGGGGCAATGAGGATGGAATAGCTATTCCGTGACGCCAGGGACCCTGGGGCCAGTCGGGGGCCTGGCCCTTACAGAGAGATGTTACCAACCAAAGTAACAGTGGTGTCATTATGGCAGCTACAACAGCAGGAAGGCTCTCAGCAAATACCAGCACTTTCGCACACACTGCTGCCTGTCCCAGGAAGGAGGAGCCACCAGCACCTCATTCTAATGACAAGGAAACTGATGCTGGGGGCACTGACCGGGCAGTGTGTCCAGAGTCTGCTATGGAGTATGGCAGGTGGGGGAGAGTGGGGTCCAGCCAGCTGACACAGTTCAGACCCCAGTCACCACTTTCTAACTTGAGAAGCCACCCAACCTTCCTCCACCCATTCCTCGCTCACATTGGTAATAAGAGTAGCCTCCTGCTCGACAGCAGACCCGCCAATGTGCACAAAGTGCTTTAGAACAGGGCCTGGTGCCCCGTGGCTGCTCTGTGAGCTTCCTGCTGTCACAACTGCTCTTACTACACATCGCCCAGCCTTACAAATGGAGCTGCTCAGGAGGTCCCTGCATGACCATCATCCTTCAGAGGGATTCAGGAGGAATCCCTGTCCCAAAGGTATTTATGCAGCCGCCAGGCTCAGCTGTGCTCCCCAGAATGTCGCCTGAGGCAGCACTAGCACAAGAACTGACACCTGAAAGCCTCCTGGAGACAGCTCAGGGACAAGGAAGAGCCCTACTTTGCTGGCCACCAGCTGGGGCTGCACCCAGGATGGTGACAGAGACCAGGACTCAAGAGGTCGCATAAATGCCACAATTGTAGGATTACACAGCCGGTCCCTAAAAAAGTCAAGACTGAACCCTGGCTCTGCCCAGTCCCTATGGGTGCACTGTGCATGCTTCCAAGCCTCAGTCTCCTGGGCCGTAAAGCAGGGCTGGGGAACCCTGCCCTGAGGGGCTGCAGAGATAAAATGGACACAGGAGTGCATCATCTCAGCCCAGCCCTGCTACGGGACAGGGCCTGGGCAAGCAGTGGATCGTGTCTTCACCCCAGTGCTTGGAAGAGCTCCCAGAGTGCAGCAGGAACTCATGGGCGTGTGGTGGGCTGAGCACGGTGACTTCACACCTCCCTTCATATCGCCTCCTGACCAACGGGAGGAGTGGAAATAAGAAAAATAAGAAACTCACAAATGCGAAAACTGAGGCTCCACAAGTCACCTTTCCCATGGCTTCAGCCCTAGGAAAGGACAGGAGTCTAGCACACAGAAAGGACATCTAGCTGCTGGAAGAGCAGAGGCCCTGGAGAGCACAACACGGGGACAAACCCCACCTTGCCTGCCACCCCCAAGATATGGGAGGCTGTGAGCAGCTGCCACTGTGTCCCCATCACTCCCAGGTGGGAAGTGGGCTATGCGGCAAGGAGCGGCCAAGGGAGCGGGTGGGAGCCATGGGAAGCGAGGGAGGCTGAGGCCACTGACCCTGAACACGTGGGAGAGAAGAACTTGGTCAGCAGGATGGCTATTATGTGACAAGAGCCTCTTTGTTCTGACAGAAAGAAACGATGTCACCTCTCCAATTATCACATATGGAAAGTGCTAGCTCAGGCACCCGTCTCTCTGGGGAGGCCGAGGACACCCACTGTTTCAGTGCTTTTCATGGATAATGTGACTTTGTTTCTTGTGACCCCTAAGCCATTTTCTAGAGGAAAGAATCACATCTGTCCACACAAAAAGGAGGCTATTAGGGAAATGGGTGGGGAGCAGGGAACAGCCGAGGGGACTCTTGAGACAGCTGAGCCGTGTGCATCCAGGAGCACACAGGGTCAGCGTGACAAGCAGAGGGGGCTCTCCTCCAAGGCAAGCACAGCAAAGGGTCCCTTCTGGATGCCAAGTCGGGGCAGTGTGCCTGTGTGAGGTGTAGAGGCCACACCTGGACTCAGCCACACTCTGGCCTAGCCATGTCTACACAGGCAGGAGGGGCAGGGTGCCAACTATGCCCGGTGTCAGTCTCCACACTCTGCCCAAGAAGACCGAGGCCTCGCTTGTAGGAAAGTACCTGCCTTTGAAACCACATTCAGCCAGTGCCACAGTCACTTCTGTGGATGACACATCCAAATGGCTGCTTCAGCCCTCAGACAGCACTCAGCCATTCCTGAGCCTTCCTCTGCCTCCTGCAGGCCCCTCAGCTGGGTGGCACCAGCCTCACTCACCTGGAACCTGTGCACCAGCTCCAGGGACTGGCTGTCATTCTGGTCAGCTTCAAGGATGACATCAGTCAGCTTGTGGATGATGACGTCCAGGGGGCCCTGCTCCTCGATCGGCCGGCTGAGGTTCAGCTGTAATGGGACACAGAGAGCAACTTCAGCACCTGAGGCCACTGCACCCTACTACCTACCCCAGGCACAAGCCAGGGGACCCACAAGCCTCTGCAGCATACCAGAGAGGACAAAGCTCCTAAGGGCCCACTGACAGGATGAGACCCCTACAGCCCCACAACTCGTCTCTCCTAATTCCTGAGGGCAGCCTCTGTGTTTGCACTTCTGGTCCCCAAGCCCCATAGCACCCAGGGGCAGAAAATACACACACCCAAGTAGGCTGTGGAGTGGCCGTCTAGAGAAAGCATTAATGCACATGTCTCTTCAGCCCACAACCTACCGAAACCAGAGCTCAGAGAGGTTCAGTAAAATGACTCAAGTCAGACAGCAGATCCGACCCTGGATCTAAGTGGATATTCCTTCCACAAAACTATGAAAACTCTCAGCAGAGCTGGTGGTCTCAGCAGATCTAGGAGTTGCTGCCTCAAGTACCAGCGGCTACTCACTGCATACCGAGATCTGGGCTTGGCCTGACTGGCGGAGGTGTGTGGGCTGTGTGGAAGTCCGGGTTGCTCACCCTGCTCACTGGGAATGTGTTTGTTTTTTTAAGAGGACAGGGATTGGGAAGATCAGGCCCCAAGGGAGCCAGAGCTAGGAGCTGACAGCCAGCACCACCTGACCAGAAGCACGTGCCGCTAGGCTTCCTGACCCGCCAGCTGTCTGCTGCCGGCACATGGCCACTACCACCTGCAAGGACAGTCCCTTGGAGGCAGTGGCGTCAGCCTTGCACCTGGCTGACCCCCCACAATGGCTTCAAAAGAGGCCAGAGGAGGCCACAAGCCCCACCCCCAAGTGCAGCTTCCTCCAGGATGGAGGCTGAATCAAATAACAGCTAGGAAGGGTCATTCCAAGCAGGTATGTGCTCCTGGCTTATGTGTTTGCTCCAGTTTATTTCCAGCCATCCCGGGAAAGGATCTCTCAAGTGAGGAGAGCAAGGCACAGACTAAAGACCTACCTAGATCTGGGTGGGAACGATGGTGCTGCTGGGAGTCAAACGGGAACCCACAGTGGTGCCTAGCATTCAATCCCCCTCCCCACCCACCACTGCCCTCTGACCAGTGCCAGCCATGCCCCAAGCAGCTATCCTCAGGCCACCATCTAGCTCCTGGTCCTCTGGCTGGGTCAGGGCACCAGCAAACACAGCAGAGAGGAAAGAGGTTGGGTGTTCACCTTCCTGTCCCCACGTGCCACCCTCCAGATGCACTCCTGGTTGCTGTCACAGCTCCTCTCCCGTAACGGCCACCGTCTCTATGGCTCCTATGACAAATTTGGTCTCCTTGTCCTCCACCGCTCCTGTTCCCACTGAGGCACCCTTTTCGGCTCCTCAGCCCTCCTCCACCTGGCCACACACAGTCCCTCCGCAACCCTTCTATTAACTTCAGAACGGGCAGCTCTTTCCTGACGTCCTCGACTCTGCAGGAAGGATGCCGAGGGCTCACCTCTATATAGGGGCGCCCCAGACATCCCAATAAGAACTTGACACCCCCCCGCCCGTGGGGAGGGGCCGAGGGCCCACGAACCCGCAGGACCGGGTTAGTCTCCTAACTAACTGTTAGTCTCCTGAGTGAGGAAGGGAAGGGCCAGCCAGACATCTTCTGAGACTCGGGCACACGCTGGTCCACACAGCAAGGCCAGGGCCAGGGGACAACCTTCCGACCCTCCCAGGCCAGGACACCAAGAGCCCAGGAAGGAAAAATGGCCAATCTAGCCAGGCAGCTGGAAGTAGAGAGGCTGGGCAGCAAGGCCGCGTACAGTCCCTGCCAGGCCACCAGCTTGTCATCCCCCAGTCTCAGTCTCTGCCTTGGAAAAAAGGAGAGCGCAAGGGCCTTCCTGGCTCTGTGTGTAGACTCCACATCACAATCCCCTGACCCTCCTCCCCCGGACACCTGAATTTGAAGGAAGGTACAGAAGCCAGTGGGATGAGCTAGAGAAGGGGGGGCACTCGGAATACCCACCCGCTTCTGCCACGTTCCACTGTGACGGGCACCAGGACAAGAGGCCAGTATTCCCAGACCCAGAGAGCCATAGAAAAGCGGGTCACTCAGGTGATGCTGGCACACACTGGGCCTGTCCCCACACTACAGGGAGACAAGTCAGCCTGCCAGGAACTGGGGTCCCCAATGACTGGGGAAGGAGGCAGGCAGAGGGGATACCCCTGGCATCACCCTGAGGCCTGTAGACCTGACAACCGCGGGCTGTTTGGAAAATGAGCTCTTGGCATTCCTGGTGAGCTGCTGAGGTAAACAGTGGAGTTCTGGAAGCCAGCCACCTGCCTCTGTGTATTTTCCAAGCACTTTTATGCCAGTGCAGCCCTTTCAGGAGAACAACAGCTCAGGACACGCAGGGGCCCAGCCCCTCCCCAGCAGGGAGGCCTCCTGCAGGGTGCAAGTGGGGCCCTGGTGGCTCTAAAGACTTCTGCACCGTGTTCCCTCAAGTGATCACACATACAACGATCACCCCACAGGGTTCTCTTCCTTAAAAATGCCTCAAGAGCCTCAAGTCTCTCCTCACTAGCTGAGAAAGAGGAGACAGGCCCCCAGAATACCTGAGGGGAGGGCAGTGGAGGCAGAGGACGCTGCAGAAGAGGGACCCTTAGGAGGGGACTCTGCAAAGGAGACATGGTCAGGAGGGGACTCAAGGGGGTACCTCAGGGGAGGGGACACACAGAGGCCCATCTCCCAGATGGGGTGGGAAGGGCCAGGCCTAAGTGACCCTGGGACAGGTGGTCTGCTGCTTTTCTGACCATACCCTGCCCTCAGGAAAGGGAGCTTCCCGGGAACTTCCTGTTCTCTTCTGCAGGAGGGGTCTGATCTCTCCCTCTCGGCACAGTGAGGGTGTCTGGATGAAAGGGCCCCCGCTGAGGCCAGAGGAAGTCTGGGTGCTCGTTTCCAAGTCACGCCATAGTGTGAGGCCCGTGTTGGACACCGGTCAGTGTGGTGCTGGGGAGAACAAGGGGCCACTGTTTCCTTCAGCAACAAGGTCAGCAAGGCTCAAAGGAGGGGGCAGGGCTAGGAGGTGGGACAAAGCCTGCAAACCCCAGTGGCCCAAGAGTCACCTCTGACTTTTAAAATGATTAACCTAATCATCCCCAGCCTGGTAATTAGGCCAGTGAGGCCCTGACACATGCCCACCTCCCCAAGACTGAAACTAGGGATAGGCAAGGCAGCCAGTCCTGGAGACCCACCCAGCCCTGCTGCCTCAGTTTCCCCACCAACTCCTCCCTATACCTCACAGGGCGGCCGTGAGTCCCAGAGCAAAGTCCAATCTTTCTTTATACTTCTCAACTCACTCCACCCTGAACAGGAAGAACTCCTGTCTCACTATGTCCCCAGGACCCTTGGCACATCCCTGGAGGATGGCACCATAACTTGCGATCACAAGCCACTGGACTCAGGCAGTGACTCTCGCCCGCTGCAGGCTGCTCATCGCCTCTGGCTGCGGAGTCCTTCATTGCGAAGCACGTGGTACCCAGGACCACAGAACCTGCTGCACTTCCTGAAAAGGTCTAACAGGCCCAAAGAACCCGGAGGCTCACAAAGCCACAACAGAGCCACGGTGGGAAACAGACAGGAGGACCCGGAACCTTCACGGCCCCATCTGTAATGCAGGTGGCCTCGAGGCCCGGCACGCGCACACTCTTGCACACCCAGGGCTGTTCCTTGCACCCGCACACAGGGACGCCCGATGCTCACAGCTGTCTGCACCAGGGCCATGTGGAGGCTCGCTGTGGCTGAAGGCTCTGCTGCCGTCTCGTGGCCTCATGCCCACTGGTAACGGGATCTCGCCCAGGAGTGCCACACACTCAGGAAACGCCAGCCATCGTGTTTCCGCTCCTCTGTATTCACACTCACGGGCTAGCAGGAGCCTCCCTGGCATCAGTGGGAGCTTACAGGCCAGAGTTTGGATGCTGCAACCGTTGGTTGACTCACAATAGTGTCCCCACAGTGCTGCCACACCAGAGCTCACCATTGTGGTTCATGATGACAATTAGCCTTTACAAAGGGCTTATCCTGGGCTACAGGCTGGCTAACAAACATCGACAACCTGGAGCACAGATGAGGTCACTCAGCCACAAAAGTTTAGTGACACACCCAAGGGCACAGGGGTCACAGCACCATGGAAACCCAGGTGTCCCTCCAGCCAAAGCCAAACAAGTACCCTCCACTCCCAAGGCTCCCACGTTCCCAGCTTTCCTTCAGCCCCCTTCCCCCCATGCACCTCTGTGGAGTAGAGAACTTCCAACTGTGGCCTCAAGGCAAGCCCTGTGTCAGAAGTGCTGCCTGGCCAAGGCTGAGACAGTGGCTGGAGAGGCGAGAGGGTGGGTCTTCTCCACGCCTCTGCAGCCTCCTGAGGAGCTGAGAATCAGGACGGTTTGCCCAATTAGGTTTGGGGTTCACAAGCAGCAGCAGGGCCCCTGTGCAGGAGAGGTCGGGTCTGGGCTCCCCACAGGTTCCAAAAGGGAGCAGGCCCCGGAGTCAGTGCTGGCAGTGTGTCTCCTGGCAGGGTTTGGCTGCAAAGGTGGCCAGGCAGGGAGACGAAGGCTTTCCTTAGCAGGCAGCTCATTCCAAAGGAGCCCCACGTGTCCCTCAGCAAGGTGCAGAGCTGGAGCTCACCAAGACCTGCCAGCAGGCTGGACCAAGATGCAGCTGGTCCTCCCAGAAGTCTCAGCCCAGGACCAGGGAGGGAGGCTGGAGAACATGCTCCCTGACCTAGGTCCCCGGTCTCTCAGAATCTGTTTCCCAATTACTACGTAATGGGAAGCAGCAGCAGCTTACAGCAAAGGAGTGGACAAAATTTCCCCTCCAAAAGACAAGGGGCCAAGGCAATTAAATGGCCGAAAGACAATGCCTGGTAGTTCCAACATCCTGGGAAACTTCCAGCAACTTTATTTCAAAGAGCCACCCAGCAAGCATGGCTCTGCGAGAACAGGCTGACCCTGTGTTCTCAGGAGCTCAGAGCCC